GGGGTCCTGGGGGTGGCCTCCCGGAGGGGTCCCCGGAAGGGGTCCCTGGGGGGTCCCGGGGCAGATACGACTCCTCCTCGAGCGGTTTGGCGACCCAGAAAAGCCTCGTAGTTGAGTCGAAAGGACGCCCCTTCCCTTTGATCCCTTCCCCCGGGGGGGGGGGCGGGGGTCCCGGGGGTGCGTCCCGGGGGGGGGGTCCCGGGGAGGGGTCCCGGGGGGGTCCGGTGCGGACACGACTCCCCCATCGGGCGGTGTGGCAGCCAAGAAATAGCTGAGTCGAAGGGAAGTCCCTTCCATTTGATCCCTTCCCCGCTGGAGAGGGGGGAGCGGTCTCGGGGGTGCCGTCCCGGGGGAGGTCCCCAAGGAGGGGTCCCGGGGAAGTCCCGGGGCAGATACGACTCCCCCTCGGGCGGTTTGGCGGCCAAGAAAAGCGCTGCAGTTCTGTCGAAGGGAAGCCCCTTCCCTTTCATCCCTTCCCCGCCGGGAGGGGGGGCGGGGTCCCGGGGGTGGCGTCCCGGGGGGGGTTCGGGGGGAGGGGTCCCGGGGGGATTCGATACGACTCCCCTTCGGGCGGTTTGGCGACCAAGAGAAGCGTTGTAGTTGAGTCGAAGGGAAGCCCCTTCCCTTTGATACCTTCCCCGCCAATGGGGGGAGGGGGTCTCGAGGGTGGCGTCCCAGGGGGGGGGCCCGGGGGAGCGGTCCCGGGGGGGTCCTGGGGCAAATACGACTACCTCTCGGGCGGCTTGGCGGCCAAGAAAAGCCGCAGGACGCGGCAAAAGTGCTCCAGGATGTCCCCAAGACGATCTTCGAGGGTTCCATACAGATGACGTATTGGTACAAGTCGCCAAAGTAACCTCCAGACGGCTTCCACAACGCCACAGGAAGCCTCCAAGAGGATTTCCAAAACGGCCTCCAGAGGGCAAAAATCCGCCGACCCTGTCGGCGTGTGGCAGAGGCTGTTCTGTTTGACTCGTCGTTTTCACCAGGCCCTCCTCCTCGAGCGCGAGAGCCACAACGAAATTGAGCAACGCTGTAGTTGAGTCGAAGGGAAGCCCCTGCCTTTTGATCCCTTCCCCGCAAAGGGGGGGGGTCCCGGGGGTGGGGTCCCGGGGGAGTCCCGGGGCGGGTCCCGGGGGGGTCCCGGGAGGGTCCCGCGGGGGTTCTGGGGCAGATACGACTCCCCTCGGGCGCGGTTCGCCTCGTCGCTCTCCCCCCTGCTCTCCTCCCCTCCTCGTCTTCCCCTCCTCGTCCCTTTCCCCCCCCTCCTCCTCCCTCCCCTGCCCCTCGCCCCTCCTACTCCTCCTCCTCGCCCCTCCTGCTCCCTAGCGTCCTCCGCCACCTGCTCCTCAACATCCTCGTCGTCCTCGTCGTAGCCGTCTTGAAGGTCGGCGGCACCGGCCTTAAGGCCTTCGCAATAGACGAGCACGGACACATGAGCGAACCTTCGCTCAACTCTGAAGAGTCGGTCCAGGGGAGCCAGCCGCAGGCGCTCGACGAAGCAGCTAAGGAGACTAAGGAGAAGCTGAGGATTCAAGACGAGGAGGAGGAAGTCGAGGAAGTCGAGGAGCTCGCAGAAGTAAGCGAGAAGGAGGAAGAAGGGAAGCCAGAAGGTAAGAGAAGTGAGGAGGATAGTCGAAGGGAGGATGGAGAAGGTAGAAATGGCAGTGAAGGAGGAAACAAAGAAAATAAGAGGAAAGGCGAGGGAGGAGGAACCACGGGCGAGCGCCCGAAGACCCGACCACCCCAGACCCTGTGGGCCGTGGGCGACGTCGCCAATGTGAACATCGAGGCCGGGTCCCGTCTCGACTCACATGTGTTCGCGGTGCGTTCATCCCGAAAGTTTGGGCCGCTGTCCCCCCTTTCCCCGGGAGGCCCTCTTCCTTGGGTCCCGAGGTCCTGGGGGCTCTCTCGTTTCCCTCTCTCTCCCTCGTTCTCCCTCTCTTCGGGATAATGCCTAGGGGTAGGCTCGGCTCGTGACCGCAGCATTTGGCTTACAAATCTCTTCGTGTCTGGACAATGATACCTCCCGCTCGCCGCTTCAGATCCCTTTATTCCAGTGTCCCCCTGACGGTGAGACAACTAACCCTAACACCCTAACCCTAGCACCGGAATCTGAATCCCCTACCCCGAGCCCGAACCCGAACCCTATCACCTTGATCCTGAACTCCTAACCCTGACCCTCTAACCCTAACCCTAACACCCGAACCCGAACCCTAACACTAACCCCCCAAACCTATCACCCTAATCCTAACCCCCTCACCCCCTAACCCTCATCCTAACACCTCAACCCTAACACTATCACCCTAACCCTGACCCCCTAACCCCTTAACCTGAACCCTATAACCCCCTAACCCGAACCCTAACCCGAACACCTGAATCCGAGCCCCCCAACCAAACCCTAACCCCCATAACCCTAACCCTAACCCTAACCCTGACGCCCTGACACTAACGGCCTAAATCAAACACCCTAACCCTAACATTCAACCCAGCCCAACTACCCTAACCCTAACCCCAGCTTCCTCCGGCGCAGCACAGGGAAGCGGAAGGCACTCCCCCCGCCCCCCTGTCTGGCGCAGGGGGGGTCCAACCCCCCCCCACCTTTGAAAGGCGGGGTCCGAAATGCCCCCCCTCTCCGGAGTAAGGGGGGAGGGGGTGGGGGTCCGCAACCCCCACCCCCCCCTTGAGACCCCGACCCCCCATTTGAAAGGGAGGGGGGGGGTCGAAAACACACCCCCCTTGAAAGGGGGGAGGGGGGGAAAATAATTCCCATTAGCACACGATCCTTTACAATTACGGCGGCACCCAGTGGTGCGCTTTCGTAATGTTCGCTTCCTAGGGTTAGGATATGGGCAGCCCAGCAGACTTTAGAGGTACGATCGTCCGTACATTCGGGAACCTCTGGAATCTGCATGGGCGACCAATTCAAGAACCTGCGGATGGCACCCTTGAACGGCCCTCAACTCGACGACCTGATCGTGTTGAGTGCTGAGCTTGTATTACAAGCAAACGACTATACTGGCTAGGTTCCAGCGAACCATGGTCATCTCTGAGAGAGCACGGTTCACGGGCTCCGCGGTGAGAAACATCACCCGACACGATAAAAAAAAACAACACCAGAGAAAAAAAAAAAAAAAAAAAAAAAAAAAAAAATGGATGGTTTTCGCAGAGGAGGTCGACCGGGAACCCAGGAGCCCGGGAACCCAAAACCCACAGAAATCGGCCCGGAACCAATAACTGGGAACACGGGAACCCGGAACCGGAACCCGGGAACCCAGCCTGCTACCAAAATCGGCGGGAAACTTTCGCCAAATCTTTAAAGTATACCAGAGAAAAACCCCAATCGTGGATGGTTTTCGCTGAGGCGATCGACCAAGAACCCGGAACCTGGGAACCCAGAACCCACCGAAATCGGCCCGGAACCAATAACTGGGAACCCGGGAACCCAGAACCGGAACCCGGGAACCCAGCCTGCTATCAAAATCGGCGGGAAACTTTCGCCAAATCTTTCAACTTCTGCTAGGACCCCTTCAGTGCAAGCACTGACTGGGGAACTTCTGCTAGGACCCCTTCAGTGCAATACTGATTGGGGAACTTCTGCTAGGACCCCTTCAGTGCAAGCACTGATTGGGGAACCATGGGGAACGCCCCCCCGGCATTCCCTAGCACCCCCAAGCACCAGGCGAAGCGGACCCCTTCCCTTACACAGAACCCCTCCTCCCCACAACGCCCATCCCCCAACCTCGCGCAAAACTCAGGGGGTGTTCAACACACACCCCTGGCAAAGAAGCGGGGGAGGGTTCAACCCCCCAGGGCGCCAGCAAACGAAGATGACGACGACGACGACGTCGACGACGACGATGACGACGACAACGATGACGACGACGACGACGACGGCGGCGGAGGCGGCGGCGGCGGCGACGACGACGACGACGAAGGCGACGACGACGACGACGACGACGGCGGCGGCGGCGGCGACGACGACGACAACGACGGACGACCCCGCCCGCCCGCTGTGTTTTCATCGTGGGCGAGATGATCAGGCGGGCGGGCGGGACACGTCGTCGTCGTCGACGTCGTCGTCGGTCGGTCGGTCGGTTGATCGGTCCACCCGTCCGTCCGTCCGTCCGACCGTCGGTACGTCCGTCCGTCAGTCCGGCGTCGTCGTCGTCCTCGTCTTCGTCGACGCTTGCCAGCGCGGAGGGGTTGACCCCCCTGCCTCTTGCGCGCGAGGGTGGACAAGGTTGGACCCCGCCCCTTTAGGGGTGGAGGTCCCCCCAGTTTGCAGACGTCTGGGATGTTTGGAGGGTGTAAGTCCCCACTGTATGACACCTCCCCCGACTGACAACAGAACGCGCTCTTTCTCATCGATCATCCTCATCCTCACACTCCTCATTCTCCACTTTCTTTTTCTCCACCCTCCTGCCCTGAACGGAGTATGAGGAGCGCCGCCTATTCGCATTGATTTTCCAAGCCAGGCAAAGGGAGCGAGGGAGCTTTCGAGGCGGGCCCGGGACAAGAAACGTCGGCCAGCCACCCTGAGCGGCCAGCGGCCACGCCAGAGATTCACGCATTGATGGCAGCCGACATTGCGCTGATATCCTGGCGCCGCCAATGTGTATGTGAAAGAGGCGAAGGGCTTCTCCCTGCGAGGCCGTTTTCCACCCTTCCCGTGGCCACCTAGCGCCACCAACTCTGGTACGCCGGCCCAAGCAACATCGAGTCACTTGTCAATCGAATTAGACGAAATCCCCCTTCCCTTTGCTTCACTGCGGGGGGCAAGGGGAAGTCCCAAGAGAATTCCATTCGGGCCGATCTGGGCCACAAAACATCGGGCCCAGAAGCCGGAGCCAACTTCGGGCCAACTTGCCCCAGCGTCCGACCAACTGGGGCCCGCCTCGGTCACGCTGGGCTCCCCAAGGGGCCACCTGCGGGGGACGAGGAAGGCAAGGAGGGCGAGGGCGATGGAGAGGGCGAGAAGGGCGGATCGAGCGGCCGCTCACCTGGCTCAGCCTTCTCGTTCCACCACGAGGAACGCGCTGAAGAGGCCGCCGAAACTGCCGGGAAGCCGCCCATGTGCGTCCGCGCCTGCGGCGGGACCGCCCCATTGTGCCCATGTTGTGGCAGAAGTTAGGCGACGACGCAAGATCGCTAACCCGAGGTGCTCTAAAACCACGGCGAGTCAGACAATATCACGAGACAATGTTCTGGCCTGTCTAGGGCGATTGTGGAACCCAAGAGCCCACCACCGTGCCCCCTGGCACACTGAGGCGCTGTAGAATGTCAAGTGCTGTCGGGTAGGGTACTGTGATATCCTAAAGGCAAGGCCCTAGCCACTCCCAGCAGAATCCCGCGGGCGCCGCCACACCTTCCCCCCTCCCAGGGTTCCTGGGCGCCCCGACACCTCCCTGGCGGTTGCCAAGGCATCCAGTATGCCCCACAGGACCTCCAAAACGGCCAGAGCTGACCACCGAGGCCGCCAAAAAGGCCCAAGATCGCCTTACGACGGGCCGAGGTGGCCCAAAGACGGCCCAAGACCGCCGAAGACAGCCCAGGAGGCCCCCAAGATGGTATAACAGGGCTTCAAGAACGACCCCAGTAGGGCCCGAAGATGCTGAATTCGTTAATTCCAATGTGTGTTCAATGATTTGCGTGATCTCACGGGCCCCCTTGTTCGTCGGCCCACGATGGCCCAAGAGGCCTCCAAGATGGCCCCAAGACGGGCCAAGAGGCCACCAACAGAGCCGCAAGACTGCCAAAGAGGCCATCAAGAGTCAAGATGGCCCAAGAGGCCCCAAGATGGCCCCAAGCAGCCCAAGAGGGCCCAAGACGAACCGTCAGGGCCCCTCGTTCTGGCTGGAACTCTCCCTCGCTCGATCCTCCGTGTCGGCGAGGTTCATCCCAGCTCGAACTCTGTCAACTCTGCCGAAACCTCTATGGCTCCACTACCCCGATGCTGCTGCTGTGGGGGAAGGAAGCCGACTTTATTGCTCGAGCCCAAGCGCCAGCGCTGCACACACGCATGTGACTTACTTGCAACATCCTAGACTCCCAGGGCAAGTCCTCCGGAAATCTTCAGAAATCACACTCATCTTATTTTCTCTAACTAAGCGTGACACGCAGCAGCGTGCGCTGGGCCTAACACCCAGCTCATAAGCAAAAAAAGACAGGCGTCGCGTCCAGCAGCGCAACACCGCGCTGGTCGCCAACATGGCGTTCTCGTCCCACACGGCGTAGCGGTGCCTCACGTATCCGTCGGCGTAGCGGTGCCTCCATCCTCTCGTACATATCACGGAGGCGGATGGCCTTCATCTCGGCTTTGATATCATTCTCCTTGCTGGTCCGCAAGGTCTTCTCGATCTCGCGGTACTCCTTCTCTCGCTTCCACCACGTCGTGTCCGTGTCCACCAGCAGCATGCCACACTGCAGGCACCGGAGCTTGTCCTTGTACTGGTTGCTTCCCTGTGTAGTCGTCACGTTGTGCTCGCAGTCGCCTATGCGTTCTCGGGCCGTCTGCTTCCCCTTGAGCTTGCCCTTGGCCTTGCTCGTGGACTCGTTCGTCTCGAACTCGCTGCCCTTGGCTCCCCGCTGCACGGAGGCGTAGGTCTTCTTTCCTCGACGACACTCGTCGCAGTTCTTGACCACCAGCTCATGCGCCGCGAGAGAAAACACTTTCCTCGATCACGTCGCCGAACTCGTCCACGATCTTCTCGTACGACGAGCGCCCGGTTCTCTCGTGTAGCGCGCGAGCCTTCAGCATCTCCTTCTTCGTCGGGGTCGTAGAATCCTTGCGTCGGCGCGGTACCTTCTGCCAGGTCCCTGCCTCCTCGTCATCATCGTCTTCGTCTTCCGGCACAGCAGGCAGGTCGTCGGCACGTGCCGAGGTAGATGCCCGATGGGGTTTCTTCCGCGCCCTCGGTCCGCATTCGCACTGGTCCAACGTCATCCGACACAACGCACACACAGTCACCGTTGCCGCTGCAGCGGCGCCTGACTTGATCTCCTCAGACTCGGCACCCGCAGCGTCCATCACGCAGATCTCCGCAACGTCGGTGCTATCCTCCTTCACGTTCTCGTCCGACTCGAAATGCGCACCAAGCTCCTCAGTGACACCTGGTTCCCCCTTGGGGTCCTCATCGGTCGTCACCTTCGGCTTCTTGATGGTGTGCTTCTCCGTGAAGTCCTTCTCGTAGCGCTCGAGGGCCGCCTTGGTCGGCGCGTAGATCGTCAGCAGTTTCCGGACCTGGGCCGGGATCCTCCGACGCTTTGTCACCTGGTCTGATCCAGACCAGTCAACCATGTCCTCGAGCTTCTCGTAATAGATGTCGCCCTCGCGCTGTCCAAGCATCATCCGCCAACGGAGGTAAGGCTTCGGAGCAGGCTGAGCCACACGCGCATTGTACCTCACATCCGCAATGCGCTCCTCGAAGTAGGCGTAGCCCTCGTGAACAAAGAGCTGGTCGGCAGGTCGCTGCCTCTTGGGATACTTCGAGCGGTAGTATTCACCCCTGCGTCCCTTGAGCTCCATCCTCTGCTTGGCGATGACCTGGTCCGCCATGAGATCCTCCGTCAGGACTCACTGGTCTGGAGCACATACCTCATGTAGTCGCCAGCGCGGACGTCGTGCTTGGTCACGCAGTCGGCGAGCATCTGCTTCGTGCTCACCCACTTGCTCACCACGCTGTTAAACTCCAGATCGTTCCTGAGCGACTCGACATCGATCAGCAGTCGCTTCTCGGAGGGCACCGCCCCTCGCTTCTGGAGCAGGTCGTAGAGCGATTTACACTCCGTGACTTCCACCATTTTGATCGCCTTCACGTCGTCCATGTGGGTCCGGTAGCCGAGTCCATAGTGCAACTCCACCAGGTGCTGCCTCAGCAAGTCGCCACTCTCGACCGCCTCTAGCGCCGCCATCGTCTCGGCCGCCAGGGTACTGCGCACCACCCGCTTGACACGGTGCGACCGCCACAACATGGGAGTGACCTTGGCCGGCCGCCCGCGAAGGAACTGATCGTCCTCGTTGTCTGCGAGCAGGATGACAAGGCCCGCCTGAGTCGCGGTCTTCGTCTTGCCCACGTTGCCGCGGCTCGAGTCTCCAACCGCCACCACGATCGCGTCGTCTATGTTGATTTTCTGGAAAGTGATGTCCACGTGGTCCGTCTTGGCATCGCTCACCGGCTTGTTGAAGTCCAGCAGATCCTGAACCCTCAGGTCGCTGTCGCGAGCCCGCGCTTGACTCTGAACCAGTCGGAATGCCAAGTCCACACGGGTAGATCGCACCAGCCACTGAATCTGACCGTTGCCGCTGTGGAGCATCGCCCTCTCCTCGGGCGTAGCCCTCGCTTCCTTGTCCTTGCGACGCTCGTTGGAGATCGGAATCTTCTCGATGCTCTCGGTGTACTCCCTCTGGCTGCAGGTGATGGTGCCATCATCTCTCTGTTTGAGGAATCTCCCGCAGTGGTGGAAGCCGGTCTTCGCCGTCTGCCACTTGCCGCAGCAGTGCATCTTCCTCAACTTGGTCACCTGGTTAGCGAAGAACTCGGGCGAGCCCGCTACCAAATCGTCGTCCACGCGCGTCCCGATCAGGCCGATCAGCTTCTCATTCTTGTCGTGGAAGATGAAGAGAGCCGGGCACAGCTTCGATCTCGACCCTCCTGGAAGAGACAGCATGGCGTAGCGATGCTCCTCGTACCACAACAGAGGTGCATCATTCAGCCCGTAGATCCCCTTCTTCGCTCTCAGCACCGTACCTTCTGGAACGGCTGGCCAGCCCATCTCCGGCACAGCTGGCAGGCCGCCTTTCGGCGCGCGGAAGTATACTCGTCGAGAGCTGTCGAGGTACTTCCCGTTCAGAAATGCCGAGTCGACGTCGCCCTGTTCCAGCCTCCAGCCCGACTGGCTAGCGGCCCCCTGCAGGATCACCGCCGTGGCCGTGCCCGTCAGAGCGGGGGCTTTGGTCTGCAACTCGCCAGCAAGCAGCTGCTTGTCCTTGTATCCTGGAACGACGTTCCGGGACTTCGCCTTGGGCGGGCGCTACTCGTACGACAGGTTGCCCCTCGTCGCCTCGTTCTTGTCCGTGCGAACGCGCCTCATGGGCAGGATCGCCGTCTTGTCCACCCCCGCGAGCTCCTCCTCGGTGGGCCAGTCCACTGCATCGTACTCGACCCACTTGCGCCACTCCTCCAGGTCGCTCGCGTCGAAAGCCGCCTTCCACTCCTGGGGGGTGCTGCGGATCTCCCGACCCTTCTTGGGAGTGACCTGCTTGTTCGTCGTCTCGGTCCTCCGGGACAGAAACGCGCCCCTCTGGCGATTCTTGACCTTGACGAGTAGTGCTTCCTGATCCATCGGGTCGTCTGGTACCTTCGGAAGTCGCATGGAGCTGCCCTTGAGAGCCTCGCGTCGTAGTCGTAGGCGTTCGCGATCTGCCTCCTAGTCGCCGGGGGAAGCGTTCGCTTGTAGCTGAGTCGTGGCGCAGGTTCTGGTTGCTCAGCTCGCTCTGGTTGCTGTTGATGCGGAATACCTGGCGCAGCCACCGCGTCCAGGTCCACGGAGTGCCCCTGCCCAGCTGCCACAGCAGGTGGGTCTGTAGTTTGTTATGGAGGAAGCGGTCCTCCTCCCGGTAGTGGTGGTACTTCAGGTAGGTCTCCAGGTGCAGGTACGCTCTCCTCCTCGCGCTCCTTCTTCGGTGTCGCCTCGACCACTGGCCGTGGCGGTGGTGGCCGGCTCGGCACGCGGTGCCTTAGCCTTAGGCGCGTGGATCACCCCGTCCTCGTGGTCCGAGTCCTTTTCGCCCCTCTCGCGGCGCACGCCCGTCTTGTCGCTCCCATCTGGCCCAGGTCCACGCTCATCGATGAACCCCTTCTGGAGAGTAGGTCCACCACGCCAGTGAGAGAGCTGCCTGACCATGTCCTCGTTCTCCACCATCTCCGCCTCACTCCGGGAGGCGTGTCGCACCTGCTCCGGCGTCACGAGCACCGGCACCCCGCGGTAGCTGAGGTGTAGCCTCGCGTGGCCTTCGGTCGCCAACACGATCGCTGGCCCACGCCAACCGTGATCGCCCTGGAGCCTCCTCGACTTCACGTGCTTCACCTCGCGCCAATAGAACACCAGCTGGCCTGGCACGAATGGCCCACGCGGTGGGCGCACTCGGCCAACCATGGCCCTCCTGATGGCGTCGTCGCTGTCCAGCTCGAAGAACGCCTGGTTCGCCGCCGCACGTATCTGCTCTGCGCTCCTCGGGCCCTCCTCGAAGAGAGCCGCGCTCTGTGATGCCAGCTGCCTCTGGTCGCCCTCCATCGCTTCGATCAACGAGGCAAGGATGCCAGGCGACCGGCCCAGCACGCATTGGTAAGGGGTGAAGCCGTTCCGCCGAATGTGGTTGTTGCACGTGCTCGTTATCACCGATGTCCACACATGCGGATCGTCGTCCTTGGTGAGCTGCACGTCGCGGTTCAGGCGCTGGAAATGGCCCATGAAGAAGTCGATCGCACGTTCCACTACCCTTGAGCTGGGGCGCCTCTGTTGGGACCCGTCTCATCAGGATAATGTACTTCTCTCCGATCTCCGCGAACCGCTTCGTGATGTGACCCTTGGCCGCGCCGTTATACAGCACCTTGGGTGGCCCAGCCCACGATAGCCAGCCTTGAGAAAAAAAACATCGCAAACTCTCTTCACCGGTGATGGACCTCACTGCAGTGGTAGGGATGATTACCCGGAAGCCCGACGCGTCGTCAAGAATCACCATGACCATCTGTCGGGTCCCGTCTGCTAGAATCACCTCGGCTTCGTCTAGGAACACGTTCTCGTTGAATTCCGTCGAGAACTCCAGGCTGGAGCTTCTCACCGTAGTCGGCCTGCCGAGCTCCTTGCACACGCCGCAGTCCAGCTTGTCCACCGCATCCAGCACTTGCTGCGACGCTCCGTAGGACTTCAGCCGTCACTTCAGTACGTGAGCAGAAGGGTGGCTCAGGTCGAGGTGGAGCTTCCTGAGAGCGCCCCACTGGGCCGTGGTGACGTCCGAAAGCTTGTCCCCGAAACTCTCACCCTCGTGTTGTAGGTCTCGATGTGCCGTGTCAGCTTCACGATCATCTGGAGCAAAGGTATTGGGCTTGCTCCCGTAGATGTGCACCGTCGCAGGGAAGGACGTCTGCACCTTCGGCTCCTCCACGTAGACTGCGATCACCGTGTCGGCGGGGAACCGCTTGACCAGCGTGATCGTCCCGAAGCCCCAGTCGCCCGCGCAGGCGTCGCTGTAGTCCGCCAGTGCGCCCTCGCTGGAGTACATCGCGCAGATTCGCCGCACTGCCCCGCGAGGGGGCGGAACCTCCTCGTCACCCGTCAACACGCGCACGTCGATCAGGTCTTTCCCTAGCTTGAACGCCTTGGCCACTGCATTCACGATCTGCTTGCTCGGGGACCTCGCCGTGCCGTTACCGATGCCCATCTCCTTCGGGATTGTCCGTCGCGCCAGCTCGCGCGTGCCCGCGCCCACCAGAGCCTTGCCCAGGCCGTCCGGCCAGGCGCCCGCTTGTGCCAGTGCCGCGCTCCGCCCGACCATGTCGGCGTGCTGGTGGCCCCCGTCGCACCTGCGCTCGAGCCACCCAGAGAAGCACGAGCCGTTGGGCACCATCATGCACGTCGGCTTGCGAATGGGGTCGCCATAGTTGTCCACGAGCCCGTGCATGCACTGGTGCAGCGTGACCGTCTCGTAGAGTGGCGGCTGGTTCCCGTGCCAGCTCAGTCCACGATCGGAGCTTCACGCCACGCCCGGCTGGCGAGGGGATTTTCGCCGATGCCGAGCCGCCCTCCTTCTGCCTGAATCTTGAGCACCTCCGCCGACAAGTCGATCAGTGGCCGAAACTCCTGGATGAGGTCGCCCACCCTGTCGCCCATACCCTGAGCACGCTGTAACTCTTGCATGTTCGCGTGGGCGGCACACGGGAATGCGACCGAAACCATCCAGGGCTTGAAGGCCCCAATCAAAAACAGGAAATCGGATCGTGTCCGAGGGTCGTTAAAGTTCACGCCAACTGATAAGTCCGAGGGGGTCGCACTCGCGCGGCCACCCCTCGAAGCTTCATGAGTAAAGCGAGCCTCCTTCGCGAACAAATCCCAGAGAAACGTCTCGTTGTTGTCGCGCAGCACATCGAATATAACCGCATACTCCTTCAAGAGCTCGTCGATCCCTTTGAGCGTACCCTTCTTGAAGATCCCCTTGTTACCGTTCTTCGTTGCACTGGACCCACCGATCGGCGTCGCCCTTGACCCTGAAGTCTGGCTTGGACACCTACAGCGCCTCTGCAACCAGGAAAACCTCCGGCTCGACTTTCTCGACGTGGATGCGGAACTTCTCGAAGAAGGGCTCCGCCTCATACGACTCCAGGTCGTAGTCGAAGATGTCGATGCCCGCGCGGCCGCCGGGAAGCTTCACGAGCTCCTTGTCGTGCACCCCGAGCTCCTGGAAGTCGGCCCACTGGCCGTCCTCGCGCAGGTAGAGGTTCGTCTTCCAGTCCGCCAGGTTCTTCTTGCTCGCCATTCCGATCATGTCGCCGGGGATCTCGAAATACTCCTGCAGGACATGCTTCTTGCCAATACCGATCGGGATGATCCACTTCTGCTTCGCCCCACGTCGCGCGCCGCCAAATCCCTTGAACTTCTGGCTCGCCTCGACGACGATGGGCCTCAGTCCGTGCTTCTCGAGCTCCGCCGCGATCTTATCCAGCCAGCCGCGCCCTGCCACCGCCATGGAGGCGCCGCTGCCCACGAGGGTAGCTGGCACGATCGTGCTCGAGATCATCGCGTCCACTTCTGGTCCTTCCGGTGGGATCGGGTCGCTCTCCACTTTGACCATCACGATGTCGTGCTCGGCTGGCTCCTGGAACTTCTCCGTCGCGGGCCCCGGGTCCTGGACGTCCCCCTGGTGGAACATGTCCAGCATGACACACACAGGTGTGGTCATCGCCCAGAAACCCAGCCGTCGTGGACGTAACTGAGCCTTCGAGGTCTTGCCGCGGCCCTTGAAGCCCTTGCCTGCAGGCCTCGGAGGTCGTGGCGTCGGGCAGTCCGGTGCAGCGTGGCCCATTCTCCCGCAATTGGCGCACCTCTTGTCTTTGGACTTGCCTTTGCCACCGTCCTTGCCCTTGCCGCCTCTGCCTCCTCTCCCGGCTGCCTTGCCACCGGCCGCCGCGCTCTCGTCCACTACTCCATCGATTCGCCCCTCGAAGAAACCTCGAGCCGCCCGGATCATGTTCATCCTCAGCCTGCTCTCGCGCAGCGTGACGAGGGCCTGCTGGTACTCGTCGCCCTCGCTCGCGAGGTGGACGTCGGTGTCGCCCTCGATGTAGAACATGTCGCTGCTGTCCCAGTTGTCGTCGCCGTCCTCCGCGAACGCGTAGATACCGTGCTCTTCGCCCCACTCGTACCAATAGCCGTCGTCGTCCTGGACCCAGTACCCGTCGTGCTCGACGTTCTGGTCCTCGTCCTCCGGGTGGCGCTCGCCGTCATTGTAGTTCGCCCATCGCCAGCTCGTTCTCGCCCCCTGTCGACCCCGCTGCCGACCTCCGCCTCGTGGGAAGAGGTTCTTCAGCGTCGTGCTAATCTTCTGGAAATTGAAGGTCTCATCTGCACGTGCCATCACTAGATTGCGCTCGTCCTTGTCCAGTCCGCTTCTCTTCAGCGCGTGGCACCCTAGCTCGTTCGCACTGATCTTCGCGTTTGGGTCCACTTCCTCGAGATCCACCTCCATCGCCGTGCAAAACGCCGCCATCGGCTCTTCGCCCTTCTTCTCGAAGTGAGTCTGGTCGAAGAAGGCGTCGAACGCCTTCGGCAGCTCCCTGAAGCTACTCTTGGCGAAGCGCTGCTCTTCGAGGAATCGTGATAATCTGGGCGCCGTCCTCCGTCGCGTAGTCCTTCGGGTTCGCCCGTTCATCAGCGCGCTTATGGAGTTGCCCGCGCCCAGCAGGTTCCTATACAGCTTTGGACCGAGCGCCTGCTTCGACCCCTTATTCTCGCAGCTCAGCTCTGCCGCCTGAACTGCCCTCTTGCATCTGGTGAAATCCTTCAACGTCTCGCCTTTCAGCACCGGTATCTTCGGGTCTACCGCACTGTTGTACTCGGCCATGTTGTTCGTAGTCTCCGCGTTCGTAGTCTCCGAGATGGCTAGTCTCGATTCCCTCTATGTCCGTCTTGTGGAGCTGTGGGGCCAACCACAGGCTCCGCTACCAACCTCGTTCTGGCTGGAGCTCTCCCTCGCTCGATCCTCCGTGTCGGCGAGGTTCGTCCCAGCTCGAACTCTGTCAACTCTGCCAGAACCTCCATGGCCCCTCTGCCCCGCTGCTGCTGCTGCGGGGGAGGGGGGCCGACTTTACTGCTCGAGCCCAAGCGCCGGCGCTGCATACACGCATGTCAGTTACTTGCAACATCCTAGACTCCAAGGGCAAGTCCTCCGGAAATCTTCAGAAATCACAAGGCCCAAAGAGGGCCCCAAGGCGGCCACGAGAGGCGCGAGACTCCTAAAGCGCCAGACTGCCCAAGATGGCCTCATGGGGAACCGAAGAGCCCCCGAAAGGCCGCCAAAACGCCCTCAAGGGGCTTCCAAGGCCCCTTTTGGACCTGAGAGGGCCCCAAAGTGGCCCAAGAGAGCCCCAAGGGATCCGCAATACGACCCCACAGGTACACAAGATTGCCCACAAACGACCCAACTAAGCCCTATGACAGTTCCTCGAGAAGCGAAGACGACAGGCATCGCATGCGATTTGAAACAAGCGCCGCAGGTGAAACGCGGGGCACGCCACGGCGGGGGCGAGGCTGCGTGCACAGACCCCCTTTCCAAGCCAACCACGCCTACGCCACGTGCTATAACCTCTGGTAGTTGTCTTATCAGACCCATCGATGTCACCATATCAACAACTCCTTCACGTCATTGCTATATGATGCTAAGCCGAGCAAGCAAGTCACCTTATGATGTCACTTCTTGGCGCACACTGAACGCGCCGACACCGGGAGACCCCATGGGGGCCTCGCCACGGCCAACCAGACCATAGCACTATCTGGCCACTTCGGTGCCAGACTCGTCGTGGAGCGCCGCTCAAAGCCTTTCTGGCTGACGACGCTAAGCAGAGATGGATCAATGACGAATAAATCAGTGGAATGAGGGAGCGGACGGAGTGAACTAGAATATGTGAGGAGGACGATGAGAGGGGGGCCCCATAGAAGAGAGGCCCAAAGAAAAGGAGGTCACGGGAGACTTGCGACAAGTGCAGGTAGCGGGGACCCCCATCAATGAGAAGGTCGGGATGGGACGGGAGAAGGAGATTAAGCCAGCGAGGAGCGAGAGAGGGGGGGCAGCAAGCAAAGACGCTGGACGGGAGTGGGACGAGGGAGACACAGGAGATAGGGGCACAGGCGGGGACGCTCGGGCCCAAGGGGGGCACGAGCAAGAGGGTACGTCTTGAGATCTGCATATGTTTACTATGCATACAATGAAACACAAGACTCAAAGAACTCGGCCATATCCTATCCAATGGCTTGAAAATCCTTTCTCTGGCTCTGCTGATAGGGCTCCGGCGGTTGAGCCGCCAAAAGACCCCCCGCCTCGACCTCGCCACTGCGCGACTCCCCGCTCGCCCCCCCCCCCGAATCGTCTAAGCATCGTGGTTTTTCTTTGCTTCAGGGGGAGGGGGATCGAGAAGAGCCGAGAGTTCGCCATGCCATGATAAAATACTTCTGCGAAACATGATATTCACGTCCGAGGCACCACCCAACCTTGGTTGGTTAGCCAATCTCAATGTCATGTGGACACCCTGGTGAAGGGTCTCGAACCATCTACCAACCTGAATATATCTGCGTTGAATGGGCCCCGAGGAGTTTGAAATCGCCCATGCATATCAAGAAGAAAGAACCATCTCACTTCGGGCTGATAATGACAACTATGCCCGGGACTGCAGCATGCAAAACATTTAATGAGAACATGACCATAGCAACGCTGCTCCTTGTGTCCCTATATCCACAGAGTCGAATGCTTGCTTCCAGTCCAGGGCGAGGATGCACGAGTTCCCATGGCGCGAAGCCCACGCGGCCTCGACGTGGCGCCTCAGGATGCAGATCGCGTCTTGCGTGCTCCTCCCGGTGCGGAATCCGAACTGAAACTTGGACAAGCGGCCCTCTGCTCCACCGTCCACCAGACGCTGCTTGATGAGGGCCGCGAAGATTTTGCACCCGAGGCTCAACAAGCTTATGGGCCCGTAGTTCTCTGGCAATTCAGCGTTGCCCTTCTTGTGGATTGCGGTCGCCATTGCCTTGCGCCAGTCTCTCGGCGTCTGTTTGCGCAACCAACATGCGTTGAAGAACTCTGCGATACAGGCCAAACAGTCTGTACTCCGGGCCAACGCTTTCCAGTATTCAGCCGGGATGCCATCTTCGCCAGCTGCCCTGTTGCCCCTCAACCTGCCGATGATTTGTCGCACCTCGCCCGCCGTGAACGCGGCCTCGTCGACCAGGAGCTGCGGCCCAAGCGGCGGGGCATCGACGGCGACAGCCGGCGGACTCGCCATTGAACTCTCTCCAAGTACTCGGCCACCGTGTCCGCTTCCTCGCTGCTCATGGTGAGCTCCCCGTCGACGCTTCGCAAGCTGGACTGCGTTGGCTTTCTCGGCTGAGGGCTTCGAGATCATCCCATTCCCCCGTCCGCAGGCGATCGTTTAGCCATGCCGTCTTGTCGGTCTTGGCAGACCTCCTCACCAACTTGTGATATTCGTTCTGCCTCTTCGCATCTCCGGCCAGTCTTGCCTCGGCACGCCGGTCGCTTAGGTCCAGTGTGCTCTGGGTGATCCAAGGCCACCTGATGGTCGCCGCCTTGTCTGGGATGGCGTGTTCGCTCGGCGTGAAAGCTTCAA